AACCAGCTAAAAGTTTCCAAGGTCACAGAACAGCCCACTGTAATTAACTGTTTATAATTAATCATTTAACTGAAAGGAAAACCACATGCTGTGTATATATATGGCAAGAATTCTGATTAGAAATAACCTTTAAGATCTAGTCACAAGTGCCAGGAGCTACTGGCCTCATGTCTTTTATTATACAGTCGAGACTCGATAATCCGACACTAAATGTAAAACCTTCTTCTATGTCAGATATCAAGGCTGTCGGATTGTCCAGACGGAGGTCCAGATACGAGGAGGGCTTGATGCTGGAAGGCTCATTAGTTGTTCATTATTGTTCATAGTTGTTATAATAACTAGTGTGTTGTTAGAACACGACGCATCGCTGGACTTCAGCCTAACTGACCAGCGCGATTGTGCACGTTCCACTTCCACCCCGGGGCAGCGCTCTGACAGGGTGGAAGTGTCCAGAACACACAGGCAGTACTTGGCTGCTGATGCTAGTTTAGTTAGCGCTCACACTTCTGTTTCCTCCATCGGTGGCGGCGGGGGAGTGGCAGATACGCTCCACCGTTACCATCCATGTTTACTTCCATAAACACTGAGCACGCTCGCTGCGTGTGACGTCGTCGTGTCCTCTTCTGCGCATGCGGGACACTTTTGGCTCGTATGAAGTTCACACAGCAGATCACATACAAGTCGCATTGAAGTGGAAACGTGAAGGAAGTCACAAAGAAATCCTCATTGAGCATCAAGTCCTGCAGTGTGAACGTAGCCAATCTGTGGGATTGTTCAGTCAGATAATACGCCGTCATCCTGATTGGTGACATTAAATGTCATGTCGGAGTCACAATCCAAGGCTGTCGCTATGTTAAGGCTGTTTTTATGGGTTCTGCTGGTTTTTCCTGTCAGATAGCAGGTTTAGGATTGTTAAGGGTCCATTATAGAGTCACGACTGTATTATCTTGTTTCAGAAGAGCAGCTATAAATATATTTTTAAGACACTTATAAGCGCTTATATCAAGTCTGATCTGCACATGGTCACACTTTACGAGACATTCAGACGTTATGAGCATGATGAGCGCAGTGAGGCTGAACCGTACGTACAGTCAGGATGGAGGCCATAAATCCCAACAAACAGATTAAATCATGTGTTATATGAGACTGTCACATTTCATCCATCGTAACATGTTTAGTATTATATATCGTTACTACAGTCACACGTCCAGTTCTGTCTAAAAACACAAACATGACGTGTCAACGCTGCCTCATGCACAGTCACTGACTCCCATTGAGTTTTCTGCATCCAAGCTGCTCTTTCATTAAAAGTCGGTGTCGAGGGGAAATGTAATTTAGCAGCGAAGCTTTGTTGACATGTTCATCAAACAGTCGTGTCACAGAAGGTCTCATTTATTCCTTGCTGGGAGCATTGATGGCGGCTCAAATCCCGTCGCCTCCGAGGTCACCAGCCCTCCTCTCTCTCCGGCCCGTCCTCCCCTCTCCCTGCTTCTTTGTTTGGCAGTGATCTGACCAAACAAAAGCTAACTGAGTATCTCTAAAGCAAGGTGACTGCCAAAGGTGATTTTTCAACCCGGCTGCCAGGACACAATGAGTTTTAGATGGCCAGGCCAAATGTTCCTCCCTCCAACTGGCAGTTTGGGATGAAAATAGAACTGGCCTCTGCTCTCAGATTTGTCACCCGTGTCATTATCTGCTCTATTATCCCTGCACTCTTAAACGCACTGCTCTGAAAATTAGATTGTAATGGACTAAATGTTGTGTTTGTGTTGCTGGACTTGATGTTCTTGGGTTCATTTGTTTCATTAAAAGCTGCGGCGGGAACGTCTGGCAGCCTGAAGGACACTTAATGAGCTGCTTTGACTGAAATACCCTGAAAATATGTAACGCGGCGTCCGTGAGCTGCACGTGTTTCCTCCTGAACAAACTGGTCGAGGCCGCCTCACCTGTTTGGAGACGCTCATTCATCGATGGCAGTTTGTGATTTGCTGGTTTAAGTTGCACTTGTTTGTCTGGCCTGAGCTTCACAGGGCGGCTGTGGTTCAGGTGGTACAGCGGGTTGTCCAATCATAAGGTTGGTGGTTCGATCCCCTCCACAGTCGAAGACCCTGAACCCGAAGTTGCTCCCGATGGCAGCTCTGTCACCACTGGTGTGAATGAGAAACCCATGACCATCAAACCAGGAGCAGCTTTGGGTTCTCCTGTCCTGCTTCGGCGTGACATCGGCCGTAGATGAAGCGGTTCTCAGCAGACATGTCAGCTATCGATCAAGGTCGAGGCCGAGCTCCATTATTCCTGATCTTGGACAGATGTTAATTTATAGCTTTCAACCTAATCGACGTCCGCCTGAGACCGGCGGAGGAGAGGGAGGCAGGGGGATCAGCGGGAAATGCAAATGACTCCCCAGATAAGCTGCCTTTGCCTCGGCGGGGGGACGGTGACTGCAGGAGGAGGACTTCCAGGAGACATCATTAGGATGACCCGGTGCGCCTTTAGCTTGGACGCAGAAGTTTATCTTCTATATGAGGAGGCAGGAAGGCAGAGGAGAGGCTGTGTGTGGTTTGTTTTTTTCTAAATGTGACCGAGCAGCAGTTTCCTTTTGAGCCGTTTTCCCGAAGACAGATTGGCTTGGATCAGCAGCTCGGCAGCTGGCTGATGGAGAGGCGAGATGCAGACGGCCCACGTGGACGCTTTCATCATGACCGCTTTTATTTATTTATTTATTTATTTCCGTCCTCCTGCGTAATGTCACCTGCTGCAGTGTGTCATTGTGTCCTAGCTTCTATCACTCACCCACACACACACACACACACACACACACACACACACACACACACACACTCGCTAACCTGGCAGTGCAGGAGGCTCGCGCTAATCCTCGCTTTAGCAGTTTTGTTCAGTTCTGTTTGTGGATTACTGTCCTCTGGCCAAAGTGAGAGATCAGCACACATGGGAGTCTTCAGAGTTTAAATAAGAACAACACTTTTTCTACGTTAGTCATACAGAACAAAGGCGGCGGCGGCGTGGGGAAAATCTGGAAATAGCTCCTCCTTTAAAGAATTCTCGTAATTCTGTGGCGCTGTTCAGAAAGCTTATCAGAACAAACCCACGGACCAGAGGACCAGGACAGTGTGAGAAAATACGATTAGCTGGTTTTCACTGGTTGGAGGCTGGTTGGTGAGTTTTCTGTTCTAGGATGGAGAGAAGTTCACATAGATCTCAGCCCAGAGTATCATGGATGTAGCAGCAGGTTCAGATACTTTAAGACATCCATCCATCATCTCTACACCTTCATCCTCACCAGGGTCATGGGGGGCTGGAGTCTATCCCAGCTGACTCAGGGTGAAGGCAGGTTCACCTGGACAGGTAACCAGTCTATCACAGGGCTACACTTAGAGACAGACAACCAAGCACACTCACATTCACACCTACGGACAATTTACAATCACCAATTAACCTCAGCATGTTTCTGGACTGTGGGACAACATGCAGACGTTATTGCTGAGCGAAGGCATTTCCTCACAACACAACACATTTGGTTCAATAGACTTCATACAGTAAAGCCCTCCGAGGTCTAATTATGTCCCTCGTTAGCCTTCAGGAACGCAGTCAGCACTGCAGCACCGCTACAGACGAACACAGAAAGAACTACAGAGGCCTCAGAATGGTAGAAATCCTCAATTCAGCAGCAAACGTGAGGATTGTGACCCATCGTATAACCCGGCGAGTCTCAAACTGTTTGAAACACGACCCCCAAGATAAGTTTGTGTTCGTGACCCCTGATTAGAATTCCTAATATCTCATGAGTAATAACTTCAAGCATTAATGCGTTAAAGATTAATGTGTTAATTCCACAGATTCATCTCTTTACATTAACATGTTAGTTTACTTTTGAATGAATTAATTGAATTTATTTTGAACAAATGAAAGGTGAGAAAAATATAAAAGCAAAAGAAAATTATTTTAAAAAGAGCAAAAAAAAGAATAATAATGTAATCAAGTCCTAATATTAACAAGTTCAAAAAGGAGTGCGAAGAAGTAAACACTTAATTTTGACAGCCCTGATGGACATTTATTTGATAAATGTAGGCTTTATTTTATTTTATTTATTTTTTTGCAATGATCTGGTGACCCCCCACGGGGGTCCCGACCCTCAGTTTGAGAACCGCTGAGTTAAAGGACACCAAAGCAAAGCTCAAAGAAGAACAAACCACAAAGACTGTAAATAAATGCAATGTTTTGGTGGTGATTTTACCACTTCTAGGAGAATAAAACCTGCTCAGTTTTCACACCAGGAAATCACACAACGCAGCTTTAAGCTACTAAATGTGATTCACTTCAACATGTCTAGCTTCATGTTACCATGACGTCTTCTTCTCACCTCCAACATCCATTGAACCAGCTGTCTGGTTGCGGTGAGGTGGTGGTTCATCCTGGGAGTGGATCTGGTTTAGCTCCGTGGCTTCTCTCTAGAAGATCTGGATCTAACGTTTGTGTACGACAACAAAACCAACAAGCTTGTGTTTCATGTGTGTGTTCGTTGTTAGCATTCCTCCCTCTTCTGAGTGGCAGCGCTACCTGTGAAGATCAGCTTTTGATCAAATATTTCATTTGATATCGTCAGCCCTATCAAATAATTTGCTCCCATTTAATGTTTAACTAAAAGCCTCCAGGCGGTTTCTAAAGAGAGACTTTGAGGTGAGCGAAGGTTAAAGAATCAGCTGTTCATGTGTGGATGAAAAAGGCTGGAGTTTGTTTCATGATGTGGGAATAATGAGCTCCATGAGAAGACGTATTTATCCGTCACAGCTGACTGGACTGTCATGGAACACCTCATGTTGTCATTAATACCTACTGAAGAACAATAAGGCTCTGGTTGTTATTTGCCTTTTTCCTGTAAAACTTTGTGGAGAGCTTTTATGTAAAACAAAGGAGACGTAAAGTGAACGGTGATGATAATAATTCTCTGCTCTCATGTCTGTTTCCATCTTTTTTTCCAGGTTTGGCAGTTCACCAGATAATCACAATCACTGTGTCTCTCATTATGGTTATCGCAGCCTTGATCACAACGCTCGTCCTTAAAAACTGGTAGGAAAGATTCCTTTACTTTTCATTCACCGTCGCTGCTCAGCCTCGCTGTGCTTCACAAATCACACATAACCGAAGGCACAAGGTATGATTTTATGTTCGTTTCTTGTCTTTGGTGCGTGTTTTTGTAGCTGTGCGCAGTCTGGAAATGGTCGCCACAATAGCCATCAGCGCAAGATCCACCAGCAAGAAGAAAGCTGCCAAAACCTGACAGACTTCACGCCGGCCCGGGTGCCCAGCAAGGTGGACATCTTCACTGCCTACAACGACAGCCTGCAGTGCTCACACGAGTGCGTCCGGACTGCCGTGCCCATCTACACCGACGAGATGATCCAGCAGACGCCCGTCTACAAGACTGCTTACAACGGAAACAGGTACGGGTTTAGGACCGAGTTCAGCCGAGACAAACAGAACCCATAAAAACAGCCTTAACATAGCGACAGTCTTGGATTGTGACTCCGACATGACATTTAATGTCACCAATCAGGATGACAGCGTATTATCTGACTGAACAATCCCACAGATTGGCTACGTTCACACTGCAGGACTTGATGCTCAATGAGGATTTCTTTGTGACTTCCTTCACGTTTCCACTTCAATGCGACTTGTATGTGATCTGCTGTGTGAACTTCATACGAGCCAAAAGTGTCCCGCATGCGCAGAAGAGGACACGACGACGTCACACGCAGCGAGCGTGCTCAGTGTTTATGGAAGTAAACATGGATGGTAACGGTGGAGCGTATCTGCCACTCCCCCGCCGCCACCGATGGAGGAAGCAGAAGTGTGAGCGCTAACTAAACTAGCATCAGCAGCCAAGTACTGCCTGTGTGTTCTGGACACTTCCACCCCGTCAGAGCGCTGCCCCGGGGTGGAAGTGTCCCCCGACCGCACCCAATATTCTGATATTTATCTTTAATTGGATCTGTGTTGTTCAGACTGTCATGAAAAGACCAGATACAGGTCTCATAGGGGCAAAAAAACATCAGATTTGGGTCACTTCAGCTGCTGTCTGAACGTATTTACCTTTGATGTGAACCGACGGCCCGTGCACCAGCTCACCGGTCAGTTAGGCTGAAGTCCAGCGATGCGTCGTGTTCTAACAACACACTAGTTATTATAACAACTATGAACAATAATGAACAACTAATGATCCTTCCAGCATCAAGCCCTCCTCGTATCTGGACCTCCGTCTTGAACCTCTTCATGACGTCTGTATGCGCTGCAGATTGCATCATAAACGGAGTCTACTGGTTTAATTATTATGGACCACACAGCTCGATCAGTTTAAACTGGGATGAGGATCAGTGTCCTCACAGTGGTGGTTTCATGAAGATAATTGTTCTCAAATTCTAAAACATAGAAAATCTGCAACCAGAGCCTCTTGTTCTGCTCCTTGCCTGTTATTCTGAGCTTCAGTCAGAGGTACGCTCGACCACATTCACACATAAATTAGTTTCCTTTAGTGCCGTCGCCTCATTGCTCATCCATCTGCCTCACAGCCAGCTGAACGGAGCACCTCGGTACACTCAGGCTGCAAACACACACATTAAAACGTTCCAGCGATGCTGTATAGACAGAGGGCAGCCGGATCTCTTTACAGAGCCGTTCTCTGTCTATCTCCCTCTGACAGGATTTCAGACGGCACACAGGTGCATCTATACGCTTTGAAAACGTCAGTTCCCTGAAATCATGTAAGGTGATATCAGTGAGCTGCACTCGAACGCGCCGTGTTTACCAACCAGCTAATCTGTGCTGCTGTTACACCAAAGAAACAGGAGAGAGATCTGACGCTGCTGAGTCATTGGTGCGTTTAAACGGGTGACTCCGTGTCGCTCTTTGTGATTCACACTGACAGGTGTGTTTGACGTGGAAGCCGTCGTACGAGCAGCGTGACGATACGTTGGTATTGACAGAGTCGGTAACGCCGACCGTCATCTGGGCTGCAGGGCCGGAGGGACGTCGCTGTGTTTCTGAACCCTCCGACAGTCATTAAATTAGCAGGAAGGTTAATTCATCTGGGCTGAACGCTCCAACGTGTCTGCATTGGTTATTAAATGTTATGGAGGGATCGCTAGCTCGGTTATACCACCGGTTCTCAAACTGGGTGTCGCCAGATCATTGTAAAAAAATAAAAATAAAGCCCACATTTATCACATAAATGTGTATCAGGGCTGTCAGAATTAAAAGTGTACAGTTCTTCCAACTCCTTATTTAACTTGTTAATATTAGGATTTGATTATATTATTATTCTTTTTTTGTTCTTTTTTAGTTTATTTTTTCCCTTCATTTGTTTAAAATAAATTCAATTCATTCATTTAAAAGAAAGTCAACGTGAATATGTGGAATTAACACATTAATTTTTAACGCTTTAATGAATAAAGTTATGACTATCAGGGGGTCACGAACACAAACTTATCTTGGGGGTCGTGGCTCAAACAGTTTGAGACCCGGCGGGTTATACGATGGGTCACAATCCTCAGGTTTGCTGCTGAATGGAGGATTTCTATCATTCTGAGGCCTCTGTAGTTCTTTCTGGGTTCGTCTGTAGCGGTGCTGCAGTGCTGACTGCGTTCCTGAAGGCTAACGAGGGACATAATTAGACCTCGGAGGGCTTTACTGTATGAAGTCTATTGAACCAAATGTGTTGTGTTGTGAGAAAATGCCTTCGCTCAGCAATAACGCCGCATAAGAATCAATCTGGTTACTGACGGCTAATTGTATGTAAAATAAACAATCAGTGGCGTGGTATCCATCAGCATGAGTCTAACGTCTCGTTTACCCAACAGGCCCTCCCCCACCGAAAGACAACTGATTCCTGTGGCCTTTGTGTCAGAGAAGTGGTTCGAGATCTCCTGTTGACGAGCTGAAGGCCTTGTTCGTGTTCCGTGGGTGGAAGAGACTTCCTGAATTCACGCTCTGGTGGGTTCTGTGCCACTTTGTTCCTCTTGCAATTCATGGCCTGAGCTTTGGCCACCTCCATCCCCATGGTGATGCTGCCCCACTTTGGGAATAGAAGGGAACTTGGCATATGTTTGTTATGTGTGACATGGTTCTGCTCCTTCCCATGTTTGTGTGCCGTAATAAAATAAATCCAGTTCAGAGCAGCATCACAGGTTGAGACGAGAGACCGATCATGTGTAGAAGTATTCCTTCAGTAACATTTGCTGCTCTTATTCTTATGACTGAACCTCGTCGTCTTGAACGTCTCCAGCGGCGGAGGGGCACTTCCATTCCACTCGTGACACATTTCCATACGTGGCTAATGTATTCCAGAATGGCCCCCGCAATTTGAAATTCAAAGCGTGAACGTTAAACACATGCTCCGGCCCGGCAGTGTTGCCGAGAGCCTGGGGGGAGGTGTACCGTTTGCTATTGACCCAGATTTTAAAAAGGAATAGATCGCCTGCAGGTAACACAGCGAGAGGACGCGGCCTCGCCGTTGTCTGGACGCACATTAGTCTCAGCCGGCGCAGCTTTCCACGGCGAGCTCCCAACGCTGCCGTCTTAGAAGACACAAGATCCCTTATTATCTCTGCAACCTAATGTATTTCTGAGGCTTAAGTGTACGTCACAATAGGCCTTAAGAGGACTTATTTTTAATACAGCGTCGCCCTTTCATGCGGTTTAGGAACGGCACTGGGTCGCATGATACCGGTTCTGTCTGTGCTGCTTGGTTTTGCTCTGTAATCGGGTCTAATTGGGATTTTGTTCTCTCCACAGGATCCAGTTGAAAACAAGACACACACACTCACACACACACACACAGAAAAACAGCTTCTTTTTTTGTAAAATAGCGTGATCACTCTTTGGACAGTGGTGAAGATATTTATTTTTCTAGAGATGACAAGCGGAGCAGCCACAAACGCTGCCCCGTCTCCATGTTTCCAGAAACCTACAGTCATTTAGATATAGAGTATATATAGATATATTTACAGGACGTATGGAACAAGACTACTGTGGACGTCGCGGATGTCTCAAGGAATAAAAAACATTTGACATTAGACGGAGGAACCCAACGGGCTGCTCTGGGTGGAAGATGAACTGTATTTCTGAACAATGTGCCAATAATGCCACTATGTGCCACAACCTGGATAGATGGAAGTTTCAACAAGAACAACCGACGGACTAAACGAAGAGCGCTCTATTAACCCTGTATCAACTCCAATTACATTTGGTTTTCTGTTTGGTTTGTTTTTTGATTTATTTTTTAAAGAAATGTGAAAGTTTAAAAAAAAAAAAAAAAATGCTACAAATGTATTTGAATATGTTTTGAAATAGTTTTAAGAAATGTGTCGCAAAAGATATTTATACGAAGCACTATTCTATTAGCCGGGGAAGAGATGGTGGACGAGTAGAAACGGTATACGCTTTACTGAGTAGTCCATTTGATTCTGTAGGTCCCATTTTAAAAAACAGGATAGATATTTTTTTACACCGAAGGTTCCCAACAGTGGAGGTCCGACCGCTATTAATGAAATACTCCCACCTCAGCTGAGACGATGACAAAGAAACCATCTGAATCCAACGCCCACTTCAACTGTGTGTTACGGAGGAATTGTACTAATGAAAAAAAAACCCACAAAAGGCTTCTGTGGTACCAACAGGTCCCACAGCAGCATGTCCAGATGGAATACGACTGCATGGAGCTGGACAGGACGCTCACGCTGTCTCAGGTCTGTCCAGCTCGTTTGCACACTTCGTATTGGTCCCAACAGCTGTTTGGGATAAACTCTAATGAATGGTTGCGATTTAGAGCCGAGCCCGCCACGATAAAGGGTGGAACAGATTTAATTTGAGCTCCACATTCAAATAATTCATGAGGTAATTTGCATAAATAGCAAAGAGATTGAAAAATTAATCCCTCCACAGATAGTAATTGAATATCCCCACCCCACTGCCAGATTGGTTCACTTTGGAATTTTTTATTTTCTTATTTTTTCTCCTCCGAAGCCTAAAACTCTGAATTATACTCAGAAATTCAACATGAGCCAATTTGTCGAGCACGGAACATGAAATTATCTTCAGTGTTTTTCAGCTGTAACTGAAGAAGAAGCTGTGAAGAAGCTACAGGGTGTCCCTCAGGATCGAAGCGATCGGTTTTAAAAACAGGATGGAAATAATTCCCTCACCGAGAGCGTGGTTACGGTCAGCGCTCTGCGGACGCCACGCGGTTCTCGAGGACGACGTTTCTAGCATATCAGAATCTCAGCTATCACAGCCAACAGGACGCTGGGTGTCGCGCACAAAAACAAATCGATTTGTGCCAAAGAAAGCGAAGCAAAAAGTTCTATTTGGTTCTTTCAAACACCTTCAGAGTGTTTTGCTGAATTAAAGGGATTAAGACAGGCCAATCAGCCGCCACCAAATTGGTTTAAACTATCTCCTAAGTCAAGGTGAGGGAACTCCGAGGTGAGGACGGACGGTGAAGCTCTCCCGGGAGCTTCCTAGCACTAATAGTTTTATTATCGACTTCAAGCTCCGACAGACAGATTCCCTTTGTGCTACGAGGCTTTCCCAGGAAGCCGCCTACTGATCTACCTGTTGTTGTGCTGTGGGTTTGTACAAAGCACAAATACGATTCTGTAATTGTAAACGTTTCTGGCTGCTGACAGCAATATGTACAGATTTAAACGGTGGCGGGTTTTACTGGGAGCTCTGGTGACTCCCTCTGGTGGTTTTTAGACAAACAGGTTGTCCCAGTGAGACGTGTACATGTGAGCCATTCAGGAGGTGTCGAGATGGCTTGGGATAAACACTGTGGTGCAAACCCCCCATTCCTACCCCCCGCTTCGGCCCGATCACGACATGAAGACCACCTCCACTCATGAATGACCCATACCAGTCCAGCCTCGCCTACGTCAGGCTGCGTCGCTTCTTTGACATAACATATATTTTTTTGAATGAAAAGTGTTATCTTACTAGTCAGAAGGTTATGAAACTTACTGTATATTATACACGTGTAAATGTATTTTCTATATATTTGCTTCTATTTGTGTACAGGTGTGTTCTATTTTTCAAGGCCTCTCCCGTTTTTGGGGCGGCTTCAGCTAGGTCGGGGATAGTGTCTTTGTTTACATGTGTAACTACGATATTTCTTTTCAAAAACACAAAACTAACCTTGTGCCAAGCTTCTTACCTGCACTTTCAAGCAGTACTTGTATTATATCTTTAGCTAACCAGTATAATACTTCAGTAGACGCTGCAATAGTTCAGAGACGGGAGAGCGACTTCCAGGTTAAACGTCTGAAAGTGACAGTGGTTTTACAAACGGTTGTGTTGTGATCATATCTTGGGTTCTGCTGTGTTCATGGTTGGCTGGGAAACCAATGACTTCTTAAACATCATTTCCATGAAAAAAACAACTTTAAATCCAACAGTAGCTGCCAAGAAACCAACTAAACTTGATGGAGACTGGGTTGCGTTCATTCGTCAAACTCCTCGTTTTGTATTTGTACATACACGCCGCTGCCGCCCCAGGATCCGTACGATCAACCACGTAACCAGAAACTCACTATTAGCATTTATCACCATGTGACAAATCAGGGAAAGACATTTACAGAAATAATTGTGAAAGGAAGATGGTCTGTGAAGTACACTGTCTGTATTATTTACCTTTTTTTGATGTGAACGCTAAATCTTCGTGGTTTTAAAAGAAAAGAAAACAGGGCCAAGATCAGAGTTGATGAGGAACTTTCTTCACAGTTTTGGTTTATTTTAGTTTCTGCCTGGTGTTTTAGGTGATAGGTATGTTGGGTGTGTTGTAGACAGATCCTCCATGTTAGGAACAGGACAGGTCGACATCATACCTGCTGGTCTTTTAATGTTCTCGTGTTAAGCTCAGAGCTGCTAGCGTCGCTGGAGACTCATCAGCCCCCTTTTTTAGCGTCGATCCAGTAAAGAGACGGCGTTGTGTCCATCACGTTTCCTCACAGCTTCACTGACGGACACGGTAAGGTATCGGACAGAACCTCCAGTGACGTATATGACAGAATAGCTGCTTATCAAAGTGTCCAAACAACCAACAATTGGGTTATTTATGATTTCACAAATGGGGAAAATGTCGTCCAACATGTGGACAGCTGTGACCCGAGGACGAATCATTGAGCTGATAAAGTGTCTGAGGGTAAATAAGACCTCACGGCGAGACTTCCTGGTCCACCCTGGGACGATCTACGATTATAAATAACGAATGAAGTCACTGCTGTTGTTCCACAGACTCCAGATGTTCACGCGCCTCCTCCAACGCTGCAGCTGCTCACTAAACTCAGAGGAAAAACTCCACAAACGGTTGGAAGCAACAACATTTTGTAAAACCTTACAGGTAACATTCGTTATTCAGAAAGCCTCCTTTGGTCGTTTTCTGATTTCAAACTGTCTCCTGCTCTCTGGGATGTTTCTGGAGCTGCTGAACAAGTCTTCCCCCCGATCGCTTCACACGACTCAGAAGTCCACCTCTAGTTTGTGTTAACCGACTGGTTCTGACCTCGTCTTGGCTTTTGTGGAAGCGTGAGGACGGCGCTCATTCGTTAAAGGGAACGCAGTGCATACCTGAGAGGTGCTCTGGTCTCGTAGCTTTGGCCAACAGGTCTGCTGGTTTTAATGACATCGTACTGGGAGGTAGTGACATCGCTGCGTCGAAGACAAAGGAAAACACAAGCAAGAAAGACAGTAGGTCTAGATGGACAGTCTGAGTAAGAACTTTTGCCTTTATTTTCTCTTTTTAGTAAGTTTGGGTTGATTAATGGTAGCAACTGGACCTGCTTGAGTTCCTTGAAGACGTTCCACCTCTCATCCAAGAGGCTTACTAGTTGGGAGTTCCAGATATCCTTAAGGAGCCATAAACCCCCAACTGAAACCAACAAACCCCCAGTTGAAACCAAAATGCAGGTGTTAACGTCTCCTTCAGGATATCAGTATGTGGAACTCCCAACCAGTCAGTCAGAGCTGATGAAGCCTCTTGGATGAAGGTGGAACGTCTTCAAGGAACTCAAGCAGGTCCAGCTGCTACGATTGATCCGCAAGAACAACCACAACCTGGAGGACTGAGAACCTTCACAGACATAAGTTTGGGTGCCTGGAGTTCTGCTTCCAACCTGTCCGATGGTCTGACGTGCCAACAGGTAGCGATGGCCAACGCTACGAAATTCTTTTTTTCAAAAGCTTTTTTCATGTTGCACTAAACTGTTCCCAAAGCAGACATACTGTGAAAGATCTAAAATGTTATCTGCTGTCCTATTACACCCACAACTTTATGAAATTCTATGGAGGTAATTGTAGATGCTAAGCTGCTAACAGAGCATCTGCTAACGATGGGACGCCAATATGATCCTTCTGAAGTTTTCTATAAGCTCTTAATGGCGGCGTGGGACTGATTCCTGGTGGTTCAGAATACACTAAATCAGATTATTGAACATCGGGAAGCTTTTTTTTCCATTTCTCTGCAGGGAAAAGAGGTTTTAAAGGTTTTGCTTCGGTTAGCCTTGAATAGCTTGTTTGTATTGTTCTGATTCCTCATTAAAATCACAAGGACTGCTAGCTGAGAGAAACCCACTTTGCATTCCTGAAGGACAGAAAGAAAACCAGCAGCTATATCTTAAACAGGCATCGGCGAACATCAGCCGTCCTCTGAAACCCAAGCGATGAGTAACGGAAGTGTCTGACTGCTTTCTTGCCTTTTCCGTTTACGTCCAGGAAAGCTGATGAAGGAGGAAAATGATTCCACTCGGCCGGTCAGATTTGATTCAGGAAACATTATGTAGGC